AGAGAGAGAGAGAGAGAGAGAGAGAGAGAGAGAGAATGAGAATGAACAAGAACCACTGGTTATAAATTATACTGCCACCAAGAGCCTATCTCAGTATTAGAAGTTTCATAAAAATTCTTAACAGATTAAAAAAAGAAGATGTCTCATGTCTTTTTTAGTTTGTCTTTGACAGAGACAAACTTCCTATGGCATGTATTTAAAAGCCTCAGAGCTCTGAAATAATCTAACTTTACCTTGAAGGATTTAACAGATTATTGTGTGACTATTTGGGACAATAAATGGATTCTACACACTACCACAGTATTTCTTATAAAATGTTATCATGTATGATGACTTTATACACTGTATTTCCTAACTACTGAACACATGAGATCCATGAACATTTTTGAAATGTATGGATTAAAAAAAAAAAAGGCTGAGGGAATCTTCTAGCCTGCTATAAATAAGTGTCAACTGCACCACTGTCACCTATTTAGAATATTAATCAAAATACACATGCCCACCCCAAAAAGCCTACCAGGAACCACTTGTCATAAAAAGAAAAAACAAAACTAATACTCTAAGTCTATAGGACTATACAATTTGTACATCAAGTCAAAACATATGAGAACACACGAGATGGACTTATAAGATAAAGACGAGTTTTACAGTCATTGATGTCTCCTAACATCGAGGAAATCTATAAAACCACAATCTTAAGCCCATACCACCAAAGACTCTCTCTTCTAGTGTAGATCGTCAACACTTAGCACATCTTAAGACTGCAATCTTAAGACAGTCTTTGTCACAAGCACTTAGCATCACACTATGTAAAAAGTACTGAAGTCATGCAACTGGCAACATGTTTGTGCTTACCATTGGGCTGTTGAGAAAAAGCTGTCTGCTGAGGGAAAGCTGCTTGGGCTGGGAAGGCAGGCTGCTGGAAACTGCCACTGAAGCTGGTGGGGAGGCTATACTGGGCAGGAGTGCCAAATCCTGCTGGCATACTCATAGATGCAGTGCCAAAGGTTGCCGCTGAGAGAAGAAAAAAGGGTAGGTCAGAGACACTGCAAACAGTCCACAGTGGAATACAAGCACTTACCTTGAAATCGCTACGACACATATTAAGGGCATTTGAAACCTCCAAATCCTGACAAAGTCAGTATAGTTTAGCACTGTCTATGGTAACCCAGGAGTTTTCTTCTGAAATGTAATGACCAGAGAGAAAGACTACTAAAGCTGTCATTTGAAATCACAAGAAAACTTCCATAAGCAATTTCATAAAGTCATACAACAGCCTGCTTTCAGAAGCCAGTCATACTGTCATGTGTACAGCATTATATACATCTTGGGTTTGAGGTTGTTTTCCTACATTCAATTAAAAAATAAACAAGCAAACTTCAATTGCTAAGTATCTGCTATTGTGTAAGGTTCATTTTTCTAAAGAAAAAATTTTACGATCTCTTCAAAAGAGCTCACTAAAAATTATAGAATCTATAGGACAACTAGGGTGAAAGGAAGGACAGTTAAAACAATATTTGTATAACTACAGTCAAAGACAGACAAAGAAAAATCCTACTTAAAACACCAATACAAGTATTAGAACATATTAAGTTCCCAGTAACTAACTATATGTGTATATACACATTTTATATATGTATATACACACAATATATAGAAACATATATATTTATACACACACAGCACACACACACACACAAACTCATACTTCTACATCCCCATTTCACAATTCCAAGAGAATGGAGGATATCTGGGACTAGTGAGCTACAGAAGTTGGTATAAATGCACAGATTGGAAAATAAGTGCAAAGACCATTTTTAGAAGAGATGAAGACTATCACATACATGAGTCCTGTGTTCAATGTTAGCACATCCTCTTTGGCTTACTGTGTGTGGTGGACAGTGCACTAACTGGCAATCTATGTGGAAATCGCCAGTGTGTATGTGATATGCCTATGTCACCCCCCATTTACATAAACAACCACATACATGAAAAAATTCTCATCTTAGAGACATGCAATAGCTGAATGCTGTGTCAGCTATTGGTAGGAAATATCTAAAACAGCATCTTCCAATCATATGCTTGTTCTAGGGAGGGACTTTGTAAAATAAGGATACCAGGAAATATTGTAAAAGCCCATCAATTTGTTGAATTTCCCAATTTCAAACATTTTACTAAACTGATGACTGATTTAAGACAATGTAATTAAATATTAAAAGGACTCCATAAAATGTTTTACCTAAAAGAAAATAAACTGAAAAGTGTACATATGTCACCCACAGTAATCCTAATGTTTGTGACAATGCAAATTTGTTCAAGGAACCTAATTAAACTAAAGAAGGTTTTTGTTTTTTAATTTTTTACTATGGTAGAAGGAAGAAGAAAAGAAAAGAAAGACCAGACTATTGGGAAGTAAGTGAATGAAAGAAAGTCGGAGCACACTGCAAGGGAGACAGGAAGGTTTCACTGCAGACAAAATGCACTAATGCAACTGACAAGTCACTGTTTAAAGCACTCAATGCAAAGCTTGGACAGTTAGGCAAAACCAAACTCCAGATGAGATAAAGCAGGAAAATGATTTGGTACATCAAAAAGGTATCACTTAAAGGGACTATGAATTTAAACGTAAGAAAAATGATCAAAACAGCTATTAACATTCTACTGTGACCATGGAGGTAAGCAATGCTTTTCAATATTAAAGCATAAATCATTACATAGGATACTCATGTTACTTTAAATACAATGTGACCTTAATGCCACACATCCATGCCCACTCCATATTAAAACATGGAAATAACTTAATTCCACATGCAAGGATCCAGAACACTAGCAGAAGCTTCCACAAGCAGCTAGACATATTGCCACACAAATCTAGTTGTGGCCACCTACCAAAATGAGCGTGAGGAAACACTTGAGAATGCATTGCTCCAGAAAGGCCTTATGGGAAGCCATAAAGAGACCAAGGTCAAGTTATATACAACTACTGTTAAAGTAAAAGTTAACTGTTAAAGATCTCTAGAGTTAGAACACACTGTTGCCCTCTGAGTGTCACAGGAATATACAAAAGAAACATACCCCCAAATCAGACTTCATGTTTCAATTGCATTCATGACATTGTAATGTGTACTTTTAATAGTTTAGAACAGTAAATGCCAAATGAAAAAACACTGATGAAATTCAATCTTAAAAATCCTTCAAAGTTGGTCACAGCAGCCCATACTTTTAATTCCAGCATGGGGAGGAAGATTATCTGTCAATGAGGCCAGCCTTATCTATATAGCAAATTACAGAGCAACCAGGCCTGCAGAGTGACACTCTGTCTCAAAATAAAAACAATCTTAGCTTTAGCATTTGAAGATACAACTATAACCCTAAAAATGGTACAGTAAGATCCAGGCACGGGCATACACATGAAATCCTGACAACAGTTTAGATACAGAGGCAGAAAGATCAGTAGTTCAAGGCCAGCCTCAGCTACCAAGTAAATTCAGGGTAGGGCCCTTTTCTCCCTCTCACTCTCTGTCCTTCCGTCCCTCTCTCTCTCACACACACAAACAAAGCATCATGAGACAAATCCAAAAATGTTTCTTTAATCACCTGAAACTCCAAATCTTAAACAGAATCCCTGAAAAATACCAGAATGTTGTCTTTACAAATCAAAACACTAACTAGAAATATCTAAAAACAACTTAAATGAGCTAAGAATTATGAGAAAAATCAAACATACATATGCTTTTGTCTACTTAAAGCATCATGGCCAACAGACTAGAGAAATGTATCCTGAGCACAACTCACCTGGTATACTAGAGGATAGAATTACATGCATATATATAACTAATATATAATAAAAAAAATCATGTTTTTATATAATAAAAAAACATGGCTTACTAAATTCTAAAACTGGTGTTTGAATTTGGGTTATTTCTATGCATTTTACACTAGAATACTTTTTAGATTAGCACAAATCTGAGGCACACACTGATAGAAGAGAAAAGTCTGAATCTTAGTTCTGGTACTTTCTAGTTTCTGGTCTTTCAGTTTCCTCATTGCAAAGGGGAAGACAAAAAGGTACAGACATAATAGGACCTATGTAATTTGCACAAAGCTACTATAAAAATTAAGTGTAACAATGAGTTAATGTGCTATATGGAAAGCAAGACATATTTTTCTTGCCAATTTAAACAGATTTATATTGTGCTGTACATTCAGCAAAATACTGAGAAGGAACTGGACAGATGGTTCAATTTACAAAGTTCCTACAAACACAAAGACCTATGTTCAATCCCAGAGCCCATGTAATCGCTTCTCTTGTCTGTTCACTAAAATCTAGTGCTAAAATCCACGTGGAAATATCAGTTGTGGTGTAACAGGCCTGCAATTCCAGACTGGGGAAGTAGAGACACAAGAATTTCTATGGCTTATAGGTCAGCCAGTGTAGCCTAATTGGTGAGCTCCAGGCCAATGATAGAGTGTCTCAAAAGAGGTAGATGGCACTCCTGAGGATGACAGCCAGTACTGTCCTGTCTCACTTTATGAAGATACCTACCTATGTGAGCACATGTGAGATATCGCTCTCCTTCCTCCCTCCTTCCCTCCCCCCCCCATTTTTAAAGTTGAAGAGAAAAAAACAGTTGACAAGGAAGAGTTCTGTGATAAAGTTTAGTAAATGTATTTGACTCTCGTCTGAGAAATGCAAAGGCTTTGACTACTCTTGCATCAGTAACGCTTGTTAAACTGTGCTATCTCAGTATTTCTCCTATACTGTTACTAAGGCACAGAACTCTTTCCATTGAATAATGATTTAAAAACTTCTCCGGGCTGGTAATATGGATCAGCAGATAAAGTGTTTGCTGCAGAAGCCTGAAGCCTGGGTTCAGTCCCTAGATCCCACAACAGAACTAGTCCCAAAAGTGGTTTTCTAATCTCCATACAAGTGCTGTAGCATTGGCCATTCAAGGTCTCCCACTCCCACCCCAATTTCTCTGTAATAAAACTATGTTTAAAACTTCTGAGCGAACAGTAACAGCCAGTATTAGTCACTACTGTACTATAGTCTGACACAGAGTTTACATCCTAGGTTGATATTTTTCAACCTTCAAGAGCACAGAACTGTTAACTGTTCTTCCAAGCTATTTGACGGAGTTTTTTACAGAGTTAACATTTTTGAGAAGAAAGAGCCCTCAAAAAAATCTAAAAGTGCTGCAGAGGACTAGATGCTCCTGCAGACCGTGCATGTGTCAAAGCTGCGCAGTATTGCAGTTTCAACATTTGTTTCAACTTAATCAATTAATCAATTAAATAATAACCTAAGAAAGAATCCATCGTGATATAGTCAAAACACATTATAATGCAAAAATTACTTTAAAATAGCCAGGTATGGTAGCACATGCCTTTATTACTAGTATTCAGAAGGCAGAGGTATACAGATTTCTGAGAGTTCAAGGCTATATACATATATATACCAAGTTCCAGGACAGTCAAGGTCCAACAAAAAAATTTTATCTCAAAACAACAATTACTTTGACATAAAAATTTGTAGAGATAGTATTTTCTTTCTGATAAACTTCAAAATTAAATATTACTTATATAAGCTATAGATTTTATATATAGTATTATAGTCTATGTACAGTCTTAGCTCTTAAAATGCTTTCATATTGGGCAGGAGAGATGGCTCTGTGGTTTAGAGCATTCACGGACTAGTCTCCCAGAAGTCCTTAGTTCAATTTCCAACAACCACATAGTAGTTCACAACCATCTGTAATGGAATCTGATGTCCTCTTCCGGTGTGTCTGAATATTTACATAAAACAAACAAAAACTTTCTTATTTAAAAACAGAAAAAAGTACAGTGGTGGTGAGGGATCCCCTAACTCTGATGCACACAGTAGAACACAAACACACAAGGTGACTTGAAGCCTCTGACCTCAGATAGCCTGGTTGCCAGGGAGCACTGCACACACCAGGGAGGTAAGTACAGATTTAACTAGAGCTAAGTTAGCATACTCCCAGGCAAGGCGTAATTTGAGCTTCTCTTCTTTTGATTATCTCTATAAACTGAACAGTGTGGTGTGATAACTTTAACACGGCAAGCTCACATTAGGACAAATGGTTTTTTTTTTTTCTTCCACTATCTGAGTTCCAGTTCATGAGGGATTAACAAGAAGCATTTTTATACACCTAGCTACCTCACCAGCACTTAAACAAATCATTTTTAATTAAATCTGATAGGAATTTCAAATACTTAAATTATGACTAAAGTATTTGTGTAGATGGAAAATAGTACTTATTATTCAAACTTGTGATAGCACAGTATTTAATGCTTGATTCTCTTGATTAAATGGGTTCTCCCTGTCGTAGTCTAGACTGGTCTCCAATTCCTGATCTTCCTCTGCCTCTCCCTCATGGTTGGGTTTACACACAAAATACCACTATGGAATCTCTACTGTCATAATCCTTAGTCTTGCCAATAATAAAGACATTTGTCATAACTGCTAATTCTTAATGATTTAGGTATATTATAGTAATATATTCTTTTTGAGATGGTGGGGGTTTTGGGTGTAGATTTCTCTGAGTAGCTGTGGCTATCCTGAAACTCACTCTGTAGACCAGGCTGGCCTCAAACTCAAATTCTTGCCTTTGCCTCCAGAGTACTGGAAATTCAAGGCATATGCCACCACAGCCCAGCCTATAATGATACATTCTTGAAACTTCACATCAACACTTGCTTTAATTGGAGTTGAAGCTCTCGTTCCAATATTACTCTGAAACACAGAAACAAAGCTTATAAAGTCTAGACTGACTGGACAATTGGCCACACCACCTGTAACTGCTGACATGCCATGCCAGACAATGGCAGTAAGACAGAACTGGAAGAAATTCAATGAGAATAATGTGACTGGCTGGGGTATCAAACAAGTATAGAAAAAGAGGGGGGAGGGGATAAACATAATTAATAAAAAAAAAAAGGTATTGAAAGATAAAATATTCAAATACTGAACTCCAAATAAGTGGGGATATAGTTTAGTTGGTACAATGCATGCCTAAGATGCAGGAGGACCCAGAGTTCAATCCTCAGCTCTTATTTAAAAAAAAAAAACAAACAAAAAAAAATTGTAACCCTGAAAAAGAGGTACTAGAGATATTTAATTAGAATTATATAATTGTATTTATATACAATTAAGTATTATTATAAATAACAAAACAATAAAGAAATATAGCACAGCTCATTCATCCGATCTGATGTCATGGGGCTTTGAGAACTACTTTGTTACTACTGAATGACTGACAGCTGTCTGACAGTTGTCTGGCAGCTAGTAAACAACTACTCCTGTCAATCACAGTCTTCTACCCATATCTGAGCTTTCCTACCTGAAAGATCAACATTTCTGTCAAGACTGTTGAAATACAATTTCTCAGCTCCAGTATGTTAAACTCCTAAATTTTATGCATTTGTCTTTTTTGTTTTTTAGACAAGATCTTTCTATGTATGTGACTCAGGCTGGCCTCACACTCTTTATCCTCCTGCCTCAGTCTTCCAAGTTCTTAGATGAGAGGCACACACCAGCACACCCAGCTGCTCATAGCATGTATCTGAATAAAGTCCCCTATCATTCCTCTGACACTACTGTTTGGTAAGAATAAGGCCTCGTGTTTAGGCCTTTAAATAAGCTCCTTCCTTCCCCGAGGGTTATAACTTACTCTGTCTGTCCTTCTTACCTGTTGCTCCTCTGGCATTGGTCTGAAATGGGTTTGTAGACGATGCCGCAGAAGGGCCAGTAGCAGCAACAAATGGATTCGTAGAAGGCGTAGCTTTTAAAGAAGTATAAAATACACTATAAAATCCTAATATTTTATATTCAAGATTTTTAAAAAATTTCTTCATTATATTTTTGAAGACAGACGTGAACTTTTTGATAACAAAACAATGCTCTCTTACTGTCTTCCAGCACCCCTAAAAAGAACATCATAAGGCATATTCAGGTTCTGTATAAAAAGCACATACCCCCAAATGGAGCAGGCCCACTTGAAGCAGGTTGTGTCTGAGCAGAGGCACCCACAGGCACTGTTCCAAAGACACTGCTGGAGAGAACATCAAGTCAGTATTTCAGAGGCAAGGCTGTTACCAACACAGTGCTCACATGTACAAGCAAATAAAACCAACCACGCCACACATCACTGCAGTTCTCACCACAGATGCTCCAGGTGAGTTTACATTCTAAAAAATGATTCAAATTCCAGTAATAAGTTGTTTATATATGCTATCTTCAGTAACCAGTAGTATATAGAAATTCTGTTTAAAAAATATGTATCTAAGATTGAATTCCATTATCTGATAGCATAAGCACTTTTAATAACTGTATTTCAAAGCAAAGAGAACTTGTTTTAGTTCATATTTCTACTAATCCACACAATGGCTGACTAAATAGAAATGTATGTATTAGCATCTATTTGACATGTAGGATGAACATGTAGCTTTATATACAAACTGCACAACAAATACGAGTATTTCATTTTCTTTGACATGACACCAAAATGGAAAGCTCCTAAAGTTAACTGAAAAAGGGAAACTGAAACCTACTGATGAACTTTTTCCACTCCACAAAGCCAAAGTTTTAAGGATTTTCAATGACTCTGAACAATTTTCTATCATGGTGGCTATTTAACAAAATGAAAATACTTATTCAAAGAGCTGCGTCAATCTTCCAAATGCTGACATGTTTTCATATGCAAAATTTAAAATTCACTTTCACTTATATCATTAATCATTTCATCAGAGTATTGGAAAGCTATGATTTATGGTAGAATACACAAATTTCCCAAAATAAGTAAACACTACCGCCTGAGCTCTGCCTCTAGCAGAAGGTGCAGTCTTTACAGCTGAAATCAAAACCAGCATAAAAGGACTAGCTGGTCTGTCCCAAAACTCAACAACCATAAATTTCTTTTAAGTTGATCATATGTTTAACAATGCACTCAAACTACTTGATACATGCATAACATTAACATGCAGAAAATACATTTAATGGAAAACATTTAATAAAGTTGAAAACGGTTATAATTTTTACCAAGAATATTAGTTAGAAAAACTCAACATGATTGTAAGGCAAAGAGGGAAATGGTGGCATGTGCAACTTGAGAGCACGAGTAAAACCCATGACTCAAACACTAGGTGTAGTGGATTGAATAGAACAGCCCCCATAGACTACGCATCCTAGGCCCATAGAGAAGGACTATTAAGAGATGTGGCCCTGTTGGAGCAAGTGTGTCACTGTCACTGTAGAGACAGTCGGAGGCCTCATGCTACACTCAGTGTGGCACCCAACTCTCAGCTCTTTATCCAGAACCCTGTCTGCCTGGACACTGCCATGATTCCTGCCATAATGATAATGAACTAAACCTCTAAGCCAACCACAATGAAATAGTCTCCTTCATCAGAGTTGCCTTGGCCTTAGTGTCTCTCCACAGCAAGGAAACCCTGACTAAGACACTAGTCCAGGCCACAGAAGAAGACCACATTTTTTAAAAATGAAACAGTATTCATTAAAAAAAAAATCTACTGTGATACAATCTGATGACACTATCTTAATTTCTGCTCAAGATTCCAGCAGATTTTCCTGCCTTATTTTGTGTACCACAAATACAAACGTCAATCACTGAAAAATCAAACTAGCTTCTCAAAATTACTATGAAAAAGACGTGTGACCTCACAGACCCTAAAAAAGAGGCTTAGGTAACTCAAACATTCCACAAATCACACTTGTAAACCACTTATATATCACAATGCAGTATCAATAATGCATCTATCACATGGAATTCATCTATGTTTCTAGGCCTTAAGGTCACCTTGAAGGTATATTAATTATTAAGATATAACAAATACTTTTTTATTTGGCTTCAATTTGTCCCATTTCAAGTAGTTAGAATTTCTCTCTGGAGAAGGTGTCAAAGAGAAATGAAATAAATAATAGTAATACAGCAGATATAATATACAGAAATGGAACAAACAAATAACTAGAATACCGTATATTCTCGATAAATTTAAAAAGCTTGTTGAAAGTCTAATGCTCTTCCAGATTTGGTATTGCATGCCTACAAATACTATGGAGACAGGCATAGGACCATGAGATCACAACCAACCTTATTTAACACAAGGCTAATGTTTAAAACACACAATGATGAACTAGAGGATGCACAGCGGTACTGGGGTTTGGTGCACACCGACTAAAAACTGCCTTGACATGCAATCTGACTGCTAAGCAAACTCTGCTGAGTACAATCCATATGTAATTAATTGTCCATCTAAAAATGTATGTTGCTTGAAGTACATTTAGCATCCAAGTGGGAAAAGGGGAAAGATTTCTAAGATTTGATAAAAGAATTGTGGCAGATACAAGAATTATATTTTAAATAGTAAATTACACTCAATTTCCTTAGACTTAAAAACCTACTCAATTATTTTAAAATTACAACTCCACAACAGTCATGTATTTTAACTACATTATTCAGATGTGGAAAAAAATCAGAAAGTAACAAACAGGCATGCTAAGACAGGGAAGGGTACCTGCTAGCATTACTGGTGGACGTGTACGCATTACTGGAGGTGGCTGCAGAACTGAACACGCTGTCTAACTCTGCCAAGGCTGCATACTTGTCTGAAGATGCACTTGAATGACTGGGAACTGAAACCACAGAACCAACAGGAGCTTTACCCGTGGTCCCAAAACCACTCCCTGGATCACCTCCTGGAGGCAAACAAACAAAAAAGTTACACCAAAACTTTAATATCATATTGTCAGTTTATCAATCATATTTGCCATGAACCACAGGTAAAACCCAAAACTGACTGGACCTAAATTTTAAATGGACAGGATTCGAAGAACTCTTAAGACAGATGGATTTCATTCATATCAACACAGAAGATTCTATGGTGGACCTAACATACACAATCTATTAATATTACAAACCTAGCTTTCCATGAAAGATAAAGGATAATTGTAATAGGAAATATTTAAGGTGCTTCCTGCGCTAGGCACTGCTGTAAATGCCTTACATACAATAATCCACAAAACTCTAAGTCCAATACTTCAATTCTATGATCCTTCCAGTTTGGAGAAAAACAATGCCAGAGAACAGGGTGAGAATCAAGGGTAGAACATATTCCCACTCTTCTCCATCATATACACTGTTACAGGGGAATACTACAAGTCAAAACTTACTACAAAATTACATTAGAAAAATAATGGGTCAAATCCAAAATGTTAGTAAATAACAGTTCAAAACAACTACGACTAAAATTACAAAATAGCACTTTAATCAGCTATGTGCATGAAAAATGTTGGCCCTCTGTAGCCACTGAATACTAGAGCATGTTTTTGAAGACAAAAATACAACTATTTCGAATTACTTTCCTTTCAAAATTGTTTATAAATTAATTTCTAGGTCTTAAGTTTTAGAGCTGATATTTTTCATGCAAAAACTCTTAAGAAACTTTTACTTAAAACATTCAATGAACACATACTTTCTATACAAGTGAGAAAAGCATTATGTCCTCAGATTTCAATGTATGTAATTTAGACAAATTAGTATCCGTTTTGTTTACACATTGATACCTTGCCCAGCACTGAAGATATTGTCTAAATTAGCAAGTGCCGCATATTTGTCTGCTGTCTGTAAACCAGCTTTGTTTGTTGAAACTTTACTAACAGTTGATGCTGTCTGATGACTCTGGGATGTACTGAAGGTTCCAAAATCAGCACTGGAGGATTTGGGGAAGTTATCAAAATGAGCAAAATTAGCATTTACTGATCCAGCACTTCCACCTGTAACAGAATAAACAAAACATGAAAATTCTACACTTTTCTCAATATTCGCTGGTAGATTTATTTGATCATTTGAGGGAGATAGATATATATATGAAATCATGTATATTCCTAAAAAAAATCAGTGACTGCTAAATGACAACCATCTGCACATGACTTCTGTAAAATATGAAACTTGACCTTCTAAGACTCTAACAATATGTAAGACAATATCTACCCTGGGATAGACAACAGAATGTATGGGTGGCGAGGTCTGCAGTGTCATCAAGAGTTCCTCAGCAGACTCCGAGCAATGTGTAAGATTATACTGATGATAAAGTTGTCTCAGTCCTTCCCTTTTTTCATTTGAAGAGCCATTACTTAACTCTGCAGCAATTCAATGTGTATTCAACAAATCTGAAGATCAGAGTAAAACTAACTCTCATCACGTAGTTCAAAGTACAAAATTAAAGTACCTGAATAAATGAATAAAGCACAATTCACCTAGCTGTAGTAGGCACATGGCCTACTAAATCTGTAAAATATGTTCTCCACCTGAAACTTTGATGGTACCCTCACCAAAGACTACAGGCAGTACACTCCACTACATGCTTTGAATCCTACACAGGTACTAGTTCTTTTTTTCTAAACTGTCAAAATCATATCATACATATTAAGGTGACAGCAGAGTTCAAAGATTTTTTTAAGGCAGAATGGATCATTAAAATACCTTTCATCAATCAATTCTTTGACAGTCTAAAAAATATATAAACTGATAGATCTTTTTCAAGAATTAAACTCTAATGTTTCAATGAAAACTTAAAGAACCGGGCATGGTGACACATGTCTATAATCTGACTTATTCAGAAGGCTGAGGCAGGAAGATTTCCAGTTCAGCATCAACCTGGTCAGCACATTAAGTCCCCATTTTAAAAATTAATTTTCAAAGAAAAATCAACTAAAACTAACATAAATAGATATGTATGTTAAAAGACAGTGATCTGGTATGAGTAGCTAGCAAATAAACTAAATACTAAATTTCTAAGATTTTTATTAAAATTTTTATTTCAAATTATTAAGCCAAATAAACTTTCATTGATAACTACTATTTAACTTTAATTCTTGAGTTTAAGAGAAGGGAGAATAAAGGTAATTTATGAAGGCTAATCATTAAAAATGATGATGATCTATAACTAGAAAACATGAAACAACACAAAAAACATATAAATTAATAAAAGATGCCTACTGGACAACAGAACTTACTGTGGGTAGCCTGGAGAGGAAAAGCTGAAGTAAATTCACCAAAACTGCAGCTAGATGAAAGTACTCTAAATGCTGGACAGCCAGAAATTATGTAAATGATGAAGGTTAAGGAGGGGGGAGAAAATTGAAAGAAAAGCCTTTAAGACAACACATACAATAAAAGTTGAAAGAAAAATAGTCAGCCAAAAAGCTAAATAAGGGTTCAACGAATTTCTGAAAACAGTACACTTTTACAGAAGAATTTTCAATGTTTGAAAACCAATTCCTGCACAGAACTATTTCCACATTTGATTAAAGTGGCCATTAATAATTTATATCTGGTTAAATAAATTCAACAATTTGCTGTCCCATAAAATAACATTTTTATTTCTATGGAAGCCATCAACTAGCTTCTGTAGCCTAAGACACAACATGAGCTGTAGTCACAGTGTTTCATGTCCTAACAACCTGTGGTGCTCTCTGTCCTCGGTGAGTGGAGACTTGCAGAACATGTGCAGGAAAAGGGGGACAGGAAATGACACACAGTAGACAGCGAGTTCAGAGAAACAGACTTCAGGTTTCCCCAGAGCGTTGGAAGATAGAGCTACTTTAAAATTCGGTCATTAGAGAATTTAGTTTTTCAAAACTACATTTGGAAAATTTCGTTTTTCAAAGTAAACATTTAAGTGCAATGCTGGAAAGGCTCTATCTACCTGTAGTTTGGGGCTGAAAAGGAGAGTGACTTGCTGTGGGGAAACCTCCAAAATTACTCGAACCACTAGACTGTCCAAATGCATCAAAGTTTGCAAAATCTGCATTTGCAGAATTCTGAGCTGTAAATGGCAAGGACAACATATGTTAATGAATATGAAAACTATAACTGAAAAGACATGACAAATGAATTTAAGAATTTTATGAAAATGTCAATGCAGTACAACTCACTTTAGAGAGCATTCATTTAAAAATCACCTCTTAAATGCTACCAGTATTAGTAATATATACTAAACAGCATCCAGAATCTCCAAAAGTGCTTTGTAAACAGATAATCTATTCACAATACCCTTGAATTGCCTCGTTATAGCACTACTCTAAAAAGACTCTAGTAACAAAAGAAAGCTAATCCAAAGCCCTAAATATATTCCTCTTAGTAAACAAAAAACTCTGGACGCAGTCCAGGAAATTTTTTCTTTTTTTTTTTTTTGAGACAGAGTTTCTCTGTGTAGCCTTGGCTGTCCTGGACTTGCTCTGTAGATGAGGCTAGCCCTAATTTTTAAATTTTTAATTGTATGTGTGTATCGATCAACAGAGGGAGAAGCTGATTCAAGTGTCTTCCCTGGTTGTTCTCCTCCTCATTCGTTTGAGGCAGGGCTACTCACTGAGCCTGTGCACCGTTTCCACTGCTGGATACAGACTCACACAAATCACCAGTCTCTGCCCAGTGCTCGAGTTACACACACACACCTCTTTCCCCAATTTTCATGTGTGTGCTGACTAAACTGAGGCCATTATGCTTACCCAGCAAGCATTTTATGCAGCCACTTTCCCAGCCCAGTGTCCCACTTTAAAATGACAATGAGCTTGGCAACTCTGAAGAGTAATGTAAATACCTAAAGTAATGATACAACGACTTTTGTATCACACTAACAGAAAACCTTTTTGTCTTCTCTCTCTCTCTCTCTCTCTCTCTCTCTCTCTCTCTCTCTCTCTCTCTCTCTTTCTTTTTTTGGTTTTGCTTTTGTTTTTAGTTTTGAGAAACAAGGTATGTAGCCTGGGCTGATCTCTCCCTCATGAACTCATACCTTGGCTTCTCAGGAGCTGGGATTATAGGTATGTACTATCATGTCCAGCTTTCTGGTTTTATCTAACATTCATAAATATATCACACCATGGGCACATAAAACTGGAGAAAATTGATATGCATGCAAACACACATACACACACAAAAAAAACACCTAAAGATATTTACATCTTTTTAGAATCCATTTAAAATTCATTAAAATTTAGTAAACAATAAAAGTTAACTACAACTATGACAAAAGCCTAAGATCAAAATTCTAGGCCTCTCTAAACTTTAAATACAATAATAAAATAATTCAAAAGCATTTTGAAAATGGAGATAAATCATAATATTCTCATAAATCCATAATAAATGCAGAGACCTGGAAAAATAGCTCAGTAGTTAAGACCATTTGTTGCTCTTGTAAAGGACCCAGGTTCAGTTTTCAGCACCAACACAGTGGTTCATAACTGTCTATAACTCCCGTCTAGAGAGTTCAACACCCTCTCAGGGCTTCCACAGGTACTGTACACATGGTACAGACTTACATGTAGGCAAAATACTAGAACACTAAATAAAAATAAATATTAAGAAGGAGGGGGGAGGTGATAGGAATTAAGATCTTAGTTCCTTGTTTGGTCAAAGAGGAGCTTTGCTATATAGGCTACCTAAAGGAGAAGGGGAAAGGTTCTCTTTTGGGAGATTTGCGTAGATCGGCTAACACAGGAAAAAGAAACTTGCCATATACCTCAACAACTGAAACTTGAAAATTTCTAACCCTCCTCAGGATTTCAACATGTAGCCTTAGCTGGCCTGGAACCTGCCATGTAGATAAGGCTGGCCTTAACTCAGAGACCACTGTTCTACCTTCTTTATAAAGTCAAGTGGGAACAGAGACACAGCTCAGTAGTTAAGAGTACTTGATACTCCTCCAGAGGACACAGGTTCAATGTTATTATGAACATGGTGATTCATAACTGTCTATCCCTCCAGGTGCAGGGAACCCGGAACCCACCACCCTCTTCAGACATCCACTGGCATCAGACACACAAGTGGCACACAATCATACATGCAACCAAAACAGAAACACATGAAATATAACTTAGGACTCTTAAGTCCTAAGTTGTAGGTCGCCTGGCTGCATTCCCCTAACATATGCCCACAAACCTGTGACTTACCTAGCAGTCCCCATCCCTGCCAAGAAACATACAAACCTTCAACTGATGGGTATCTCTAGATCCAACTACTAACTTATAAGCAATACAAGAGAGAACTTTTGAAGGTTCCAACAGGGAGGCAATTAACAAGTTCAGAATACTAAAGAATTCATAAAACAAATAATCTTTCTCTAACAAATCACAATGAAAAAGAGAAGGAATAACCTCTAGAAACCTAACCAATATTTCAGTTGCAAAGGATATATTTTTTTTAAAAAACTGGATTCCAATGAATCATATACAAACTGTGTGTGAGAGTAAGTGAATGTGTTTATATCTACATTATATCTGTACATAATACACAGTATATATAGAAACACAAATCTGAACTGGAATGAAAATTCAAATACTGACTAATAAACTATTACCATGATTTAAAATGATTCTACCACTTACTGTGATATTTAACAATGAAAATTCTAGGGTCTGGGGCAAAGACTCTGACTCAGAGAAGTAGCTAGTCTGTAAGAATGAGGACCTGAATTTAGATTTCCTCCACAAATGCAAAACAGTGTCTGCATCCCCGGTGCTTAGGGCAGTAAGATAGGAGACCAGAGGCAAGACTCCTGGAGCTCACCGGCCAGCTAGGCTAGTCAATTGGTTACCTTCAAATTCAGTGAAACTCTGTGTTAAAAATAAGTACAGAGATACGTAAGACACCTGATGCTGACCCAAGGGGTACGGTGCTGATATGCAAGAACAGACAAAGCACACACTGGAGGGAGGTATACAGACACAAAGTATTTGTGTCTAAAATTTGTTTCAAAATCTGATGAGTGGTATGACAAAGAAAACAGTACTAGGCACATGAGATTAATACTTAAGTTACATTACACATTTGCATTTGTTCTTTTGTCATTTTCCATAATAAAAGAGGCAGTATCTATATACATATGAATGTCTTGCCTCAGACAAAGCTGTTGGTACGTGTAAAGGTACCTGCTACCAAGTCGGAAAACCTGAGTTTAATCTTCAGGACCAACATGGAAAAAAAAAAAAAAGTACTAAATCCTACAAGTTGTCTTCTGACCTCCACAGATGCAACATGCAGTGCAGGTGTGCACACACACAGACACACACACACACACACACACACACAGACACATACACACACATACACACACACACACCATAAAGTATAAAAAAAAATTAACCCTTCTCCTACGTTTTTTCATAAAAAGAAGTCACATTCTGTGTTATGCATAATTTCTTTTGTGATTAAAAAGCAAAAAGTACCATGGTACATTTTAATGGATGGCCAGGTCATGGTGGCACACACTTTAATTCCAGAACTGAGATAAAGTTGAGTTCAAGGCCAGCCTGGTCTACAGAATGAGTTCCAGGTCAGTCAGGGCTACAAAGAGAAACCCTGTCTCAAAAACAAACAAACATAAAAAAAAGACCACGGTTGCATGCATGCCCTAGCTGTGAAATTACATACAGGAATTTCAGCATTCAGGTGGCCTAGTTGGACGATAAGGAGCTCATGGTCAATCTTAGCAGAGAGCAAGTTCAGGGTCAACCAGCTTGGGCTGCATAACATGCTACCTAAGATATTCCCCTAAAAGTACCATGGGTATATGTCTATATGCTACAATGTTCACGGATGATCAAAATTCCTCGGTGGACTACACTTACTGCTACTTAAGTATAACAAACGATTAATGTTTCTTGGTGTTTTATACATATCCTAAGCAATAACTATCAGGAAAAGACATACCTGCATGACTGTTAAAATGTGCAAAGTTAGCAAAATTGGCTGTAGCTGTTGACTGAGGAGCTGGAGCAGCAAAGATGTCTGAGCCAAGATCACTCAAAAGGTCAAATTGCTTCTTCTCCTGCTGCTGCCCTTGAGAGCGACCTACAACTGGGGACTGCAAGCACAGTACTTACTCATAGTGTTTCTAAAATACAGACTTATGCATTAACTATAAAGATTTTTCCATCAGATTTGCTAAGTTTTATATAAAACTATCTCCAATTCTGCACTAAAAATTCATTTACATACAAGAAGAGTTACAGTATCCTAACTTTACTCCTCTCTTCATTTTTTCACTTTAAGCCTTGTGGAAAGAGAAGGATTTAGTCAGAGGCTCTAGAATACACTGTCAGAAAGGTAGGATTTGACCTGCATTACAACTTCAAAGCCATTCCTTCAAGTACAGTATAGCATAACAGTGTCACACAGCAACACAGTCATTACATCATAACTACAACAAAGTAAATACTGAGGATACAAATGGTTTTGGTGGTCACTGGTGAGGAACACTGTTAAAACCATTACATTTCAATGATAATAAGCATGCTACATAATCAGGTTGGTTGCAAATCCTACTATTTTTTCTGTTAAGGCATCACAGAGGATCTTTACAAAGTGACAGCAAAGCCAAAGCCAGTAAAAACATATATTCCTACCACATATCAACAATCTTTTATTGTATTTCACAAATCATGCAGATAAAGGTTCTTAGCACTCAATCTTCCAGAGGTCTTTAGGAATTACCAACCCCTCACCTGACTAGGTGTGCCCTTATTTAAGTGCAGTGCTGGTGCAGAATCTCCCAACAGAGATTTCAGGGGCTTGACCTCAGGGGTGCTGCTTGTGCTACTGGCAGAAGATCCTGAAATAGATGCATGAACTGATGCCACCACTTTGGCTTGCTCCGGCGGAACATACCTGCAATGTGGAAATCAAAACAGACTGCTAAGAAAAATCTGAAGAATCCATATTTTCTCCTTTTGGTTTTCAATACAGGGTTTCTCTGTGTAACCCTGGCTGTCCTGGAACTTGCTCTGTAGATCAGGCTGGTCTCCAACTCAGAGATCTCCCTACTTCTACCTCCCAAGTGCTGGGAATAAAGATATGCACTACCCCTGCATGGCTAAGGAATCCATATTAAATTATTAAATCTAAATTTTATACAGCACTCTTACAACACTAATGTTACTAGAAAAGATAGAACTTAAAACTGACAGCTTAAGGCTATTAATTGCCCAAAATTATTTAAAGAAAAGTAAGTACTGTTCATAAATTTTGTTTCAATTATTTACTCATGGCTTTCCTGAGACAATACACTGTAACACCTGCTGCTGGAAGACAGAAGGTCTATAGTTAATCATTACAACAAACAGTTAACACTGTAATTTTTAAAGTGAGGAACTCTTAAGACCATAAATATCTGGAGATAAGTGAAACAGTGAGGAAACACTTATAATTAATGGCCTAAAACCAATAAAAATAAGAACTCCACTTTAAAATGGACAAAAGAAACAAGTCATAAAGAATATGAAAACTTAAAGCAAATAAAATATAAATTAATGCATCATTCACTTCTGATCTGTATGAACTGAGTTTTTAGTTGCTATCTAATGACAATATACATACAAGTATACTCTATATATTCAGAAGTATTACTCCTAGAAACTTATCCTTAGCAAGTAATTAGATAAGTATACACAGATACACAATTATGAGCCGGGCAGTGGTGGCGCATGCCTTTAATCCCAGCACTTGGGAGGCAGAGGCAGGCGGATCTCTGAGTTCGAGAGTTCGAGGCTAGCCTGGTCTACAGAGTGAGTTCCAGGACAGCCAGGGCTACACAGAGAAACCCTGTCTTGAAAAACAACAACAACAAAAAAAAAACAAAAAACAAAGAAAACAATTATGTTACCCCTGCAATCTTAATGTTTAAAAACTGGAGAACAAAGGTAACAAAATCTCTGTCAATAGTAAACTATTTATATACATTATGCTAAAATGCATATAATTCTGCATAGCCACTCCCTTTCTTTGGCATGTACAGATACCCATGTGACTCAACAAGTCCTTCAGGCATGACCAGTCACATAAAAAAGACACAAGGGTGGGAATGAAGGAAGGAAAAAAGACTGAAGGAATATAATGCCCAAATATCAGCAGTGTTCATCTCAGGGAAGGGACTGTTTGGCAACTTTTGTTCTCTGTAACTGTAGGTGTACTCCTACCCTCATCCTCATCCGTCATCATCGTCGAGGAGGAAGGAGAAATGAAGCATTAAGGTAGCTAAAAACACTTATTTCAGAGACAGTGTTCAACCCCCAACTAACCATGCAATACTCACAAACAATACAACTATCCCCACTAGGAGAATATGAGTATGATGAGATCTGAGAATCAAATACGGATGTTCTCCAGTGCTTCAATTCTTAGGTGTGGCTAATTCCAATCACAGGATCAGACAGATAACAGTTTATGGCTATAATGATTCATAATGATTCACCACACTTAAAAGTAAGAATGTGTATCTAAGTGAAAAGAACTATCTCAAGACTACGTACAACACCATCACTGTTGCACTGCTTGCTCCCTACAACAAACATTCTTATAGAGACTGTGTCCAACGGCTGCCGCTCAGACCATGTGCAAACCTGTCCCTGCTCTCTAATCATGTCAGAGTGTGATGAGGCAGACACATGCAGATTCTGGCTCCCTCGTCAACTTTTAGAAAGCTTGTGTCTGTACTATTCTTTCTTAGGAATACTGTGCTTCTTAGGAAAGGCACGAAAGTAAGACAAACTATTACTTGAGACTTGCAGGATTCCTGTTCTAAATGCAGAAGAGGAAGTGAGGATTTTACTCTCCTAGTGACACTCGCATTCCCTGTCTCACATCCCTGCCTCCCTTTGCAGCTGGGGCTAATATCACTAAAACCCAAGCCAGCTTAACTACTAACAACAAACTCACTTTCTGAATTGTTAAAAAGTAGTCCTGCTGCATAAGCAAACAGCTATACTGGGGTCACTTAAGGAGAACAGTTTTATATTATCTATAGGCTGGGAGATTTAGAAAATTAAGAACAAAAATGGGTGCATGCCTTTAATCCCAGCACTTGGGAGGCAGAGGCAGGCAGATTTCTGAGTTCGAGGCCAGCCTGGTCTACAGAGTGAGTTCCAGGACAGCCAGGGCTACACAGAGAAACCCTGTCTCGAAAAAACAAAACAAACAAACAAAAAGAACAAAAATGATAAAAGAATGGTTTTTGTTATAAAAAAAAAAAAAAATCATTTGAGCCGGGCGGTAGTGGCAGAGGTAGGTGGATTTCTGAGTTTGAGGCCAGCCTGGTCTACAAAGCGAGTTCCTGAGTTCCAGAACAGCCAGGGCTACACAGAGAAACCCTGTCTCAAAAAAATCATTTGTGTATGATACTTAACTATCATCCCAGGACCTTCAAATATTTTCTTCCTTCTTGAACTAAAATTTCACTGGTACATTTTCATCTATATACATACCTAATGTATCTAGTGCATATGAAGAGAGTCGTAGATAAACTAATCTTTTTAGAAGTAGTCTATTTAGACCAGCAGAGACTACACACAGAATGTTTAACTCAGAGCAAATGTGCTCACGTTCAAAAGGATCTTCCCCATAATTCACAGTAAACGCCCTCAAACCAATACTGCCTTTGACTACATTACTCCCTAGCCAAAATAGTGTTTCCTCAGGGAAACAAGAGGCAGTTTATTTCCCAATTATCTACTCTCTCTATCCTCAACTCTCTCACTGTCTTAATCCCCCAAGAAGGAATACAGGTTGCTCAGTAATGACTGCTATAAAAACCAAACAGATCATAGTTAATTCATCAGTACATATTTACTTCTTTCATAAAGCTAAAGCTGAGGGGCTGAGTGACTAAATACTAGCTCTATCATTACAAACCCCATGCTCTGCTGAAGGGACATTCTGGCTTTAGTGTAGTGTACAGGGAGTAAAAATGTTCCCTTCTCACCCAACCAGCAAGTTAATTTCTTGGGTGAGAAATAAGGGATATTTAGAACACAGATCTCCAGCAGGACACAATCAAACAGATATACTACACAAGAGCTTTAACAATGCCTAAAGGATAGCACATAGTAAGGACTGAAGAAATAAGGAGTGACAGAAAGAAGCATTACGGACTAAAAACACCCAAGGAAAGCAACAGGAAGGATTATGAGAGAGATCACTAACTTGCCTTGGAATGAGATTTGACATCGTAATGAAAGGCTGCTTTCCGCTAGGCATAGATGTGCGAAGATAAAGCACAAGCGAAAGGTTTCTGGAAACCAAATCTAACTAACCAAGTCAAAGGGTGATGTGGCTGTATCCACCAACCATCAAGTTAACTCCTCCGTTCTGCCGGCCTACCTTAATCTGTCAATCAAGTCTTACCATAATTGTGATCTGGTCGTTTTAACTTAAACACCAATTATTCACTCACCATCTTTTCTTTTCATATTTTTCTTGTAGAAACTCTTTCACTTTTTGTGGATCCCTGAAGTCTGGAATTGCTGAAGATCTATCATCAAATAATCCTAGCCAAATCTGTTTGCAGACCTTTGAAAAGAATTGAGAAAAAAAGTTAAGTCTTAATTTAATAAAATTTCAAGAGAAAATTCTGTTTCTTTGAGAAAGCCATTTACAATGCTGCTTGCAATGAGGATATTCACTATAATCATAAACTAGGAACTGAACTTACTAGTATACACAGCAAGACAATGAAATCTTAGCAACAAGCTCATAGAGAAATTTACAAGGAAACAAGTGGTAAAATGAGACTTGGGAGCACTGGGCTCGATATCAATCATGTCAAAGCAGTCAAATAAGCTGTGGGAACCTCCTTCCTGTACTAATAAAACAGAAATTGGGCCAAGAGCAATGTAGGAACCCTTTAACAAGCCAAAAGAACACAAAAACACCAGAATTGTGAAGTCTGTCAATAAAGTATCATAACACAAATACTAGCCTTATGAATGTCTGAGATATTTAACTCTTTTGAAGAATTAAGAGAAATGAAATTCAAATAAGACACAAAAAGGAATTACAAAGGAGAAAGGTACTTTTTAAAAGACAAGAACCCGCCGGGCAGTGGTGGCGCACACCTTTAATCCCAGCACTTGGGAGGCAGAGGCAGGTGGATTTCTGAGTTCGAAGCCAGCCTGGTCTACAGAGTGAGTTCCAGGACAGCCAGGGCTATACAGAGAAACCCTGTCTCGAAAAACAAAAAAACAAAAAAACAAAAAAAAAAAACAAAAAAAAAGAAAAGAAAAAGAAACAAGAATACAACTGTTAAGAATAAATTGGGAGGCAGGGTATATAAACAGTCACTACAATAAAGATGTACACACTGAAAGTTAAACTATAGTAACAGCATATGCCACTGAAACCGCAATAACAGAAACACAGGACACAGACCCACCGCCCTGCATGTCGTCTGGCTATGAAAGCAAGAGTAACTTACTGACTGTATCTTTGATGCTGAGTGTGGAGCAACTGAAACTCTAGAATGTAAACGGTACAACACCTAAAAAAACACAGTTGGGCAGTTTCTTAAACACTAAATACACCTACTCCATGATCAGGTCATTTTGGAACTACCTGACCAAATGTATGAAACCACCTATCTGCACACAGGATTGTACACAGCTCATCACAGTAGCTTTACTGGTAAGCCCAAACTGGAAAGAATGCAACCAACTATATGTAAGAGGTGATGGACAAACAAATTACAGCACAGACCAAGAAAAATACTATCCAGCAAGTAAAAGGAGCAATGTGGTGATACATAAACTTTTTGGTAGTTCCAAAGAAAATGACACATAGGTTCACAGGGAAAGGCATTATTTGAGATGTGCCCTTGTTGGAGAAAGTCTGTCATTGGGGATGGGCTTTGAAGTTTCAGATGCTCAAGCCAGGCCAAGTATCTCATTCCCACCCTGCTGCTTGTCGATCCAGATGTACAACTTTTAGCTCCTTCTCCATGCCTGCCTGCACGCCACCATGATTCCTACCATGAAAATAACAGACTAAACCTCTGAAACTGTACACCAGACCCAATTAAATGTTCTCCTTTTTAAGAGCTGCCATGGCTATGGTATCTCTTCACAGCAATAGAAAACCTAACTAAGACAAAACTTCAAGACAATTATGCTGACTGGGAAAAATGAAACCAAACACAAAATAGGCAACACAACCCACAGATAAAAATGCCTGTGGATGCCAGGCAGTGGTGGCACACACCTTTAATCCCAGCACTTGGGAGGCAGAGGCAGGTGGATTTCTGAGTTCGAGGCCAGCCTGGTCTACAGAGTGAGTTCCAGAACAGCCAGGGCTATACAGAGAAACCCTGTCTCAAAAAACAAAACAAAACAAAACAAAACAAACAAACAAACAACAACAAAAAAAAACCAAAAAGCCTGTGGACAACTTAAGTTCAATCCCTGGAACTCACAGTGGAAGGAGAGAAGATGCCCAAAGTTGCCCTCTGACCTCCAGGTGTATACCATGGGAGGGAGGCTATGCATATATACATATACAATTTTATAAAAAGACCTCTATTCCTTTGTACAACTGACAGTTGATATCACACACCTCTATGTAGTACTCTTTCTACTAAACAAACAAAAAAACCCAAGTGTTTCTTAAATTTAGTCAGTAAATTTGTCACTAAGCAAGACTCATATCAAAGTCGAACTTTCCAACATATCCCCCCTCAAAAAAAAAGAAAAAGAAAAAGAAAAGCCTCTTTATCTCCTGGAGATCAACTCATCTGGTCCCTGAAGAGATGTGTCTTCTTCCTAATATCATATTAAAACTACCATCTATAAGCCTTTGCTAATAGCAGTCTGCTTTCTGTCTGTTATGTTTTAATGAAACTTAACGGTAGAGAACGAAGAGAAAAGGCCAACTAAAAAAACTGCAGGTAGTTGATATCTGCCAAGTAAAATAGGACAGAAGGGGAAGGGGGGTGGTTATAACAGCAGACCATGAACTCCAAGCTAGGCTGAAAGATAAAGACAAAGCACTTAGCGGAGTGAAGGTCCTGGTATTTGGTTAGTGTGCCTAAGCTTCACAGTGAAAGAACTGGGAAGAAGGGCTCAGTGGGGAGAAGTTGTAAACCCAACAGGTGATAGAGATTGCTAATGTAAATGCGAGGAAAGCCCACTGGAGGACAAGAGGTGGAGGATTCAAGGGCTGTGTGAAAGACCCTGTGAACACTGGCTGGAGTTTAGTAACAGCAAGAAAAGTATAAGGAGCTAAAATCTAAAACGAACAAATACTGGATGACAACAAGACACAGGAAGTAATAGCAACTATTAACATGAGAACCTAGGGGTGTAGGCTAAAAAACAGTAATGAGGAATAATAATGACTCCTGGAAGGCATCATTTGTAAGGGCTCAACAGGTAATGGGATTAGTTTTGATGATCTCTCTGGGGAATGGGAGTGGATAATCATCCTAATTATAGCATAACATGGTTGTGGTGCTTGAGAGCCTGAACTAGCTCAGCCAACTCTTGCTAAATATGATACGTCATAACTTCTTCTGTAAAATGCAAATAATAATGGAACTTACTTGATATGGATATTAGGCAGGTTCAGTGAGTTAACACACCTGATACTGAGGTACAAACTATATTACTGTAATAGTGAACTAATATAACATTGGTATATTGATAATTTTCTGTGCTGTTTTAATTTGAAAACTCTGCAGTAGTAGGTGACTAGACAGCACTGGCTGAGGAGGAAAAGTCTTATCAGGAATGCTGGAAACTAGGTCCACCTTTAATCCTGATGCAGACAGAATCAAAGAGGTGTTGAAACATCACCCTCTGATGGACTCACAAAGTGCTTTACACTTTTACAGAAAAAGATTACAAACGGCCATGCTAGAGTCACTATGTATGTGCCTTACGTGGTACTTCTCAACCCTTATGATGCTTTTAAGTTGAGCCATAAATGGTCAATTGAGCAAAATGACTCGAAACTCATCTTAGGAAAGAATTAAAAACAAAATTAAAGAATAAATGAACTGACATTAGCCAACAAATAAATTGATAAAGCTGTGAGTTATCTTTTCTTCATTTTAGTGCTAATTTTAGAATTGGCATGATCACCAATAACATAATGTAAAATATTTTTAATGTATACTTTTATTGGTCAAGAATTTGTTGGCAGGGCTGGAGAGATGGCTCAGTGGTTAAGAGCACTGACTGCACATCCAGAGGTCCTGAGTTCAAATTCCAGCAACCACATGGTGGCTCACAACCATCTGTAATGAGATCTGATGCCCTCTTCTGATGTGTCTGAAGACAGCTACAGTGTATTTATATATAATAAATAAATAAATAAATAAATCTTTAAAAAAAAAAGAATTTGTTGGCAAATGGGACAGTTAATGTGGAAAACTGGAAGTTAACCAAGAGACTATTGCAAAGCACAGCCTGGCTGTACAGAAACCTCAAGTTAGAGCATAGTACTCCAGGCTGGGTAATGACAGCACCCACCAGCCACCGCAATGAAACATTCGGCAAAACCCACAAACACACAAAGAAGCAAGTTAACAAACCCAAAGAAGGAAAGCTGCATATCATAACCAATCAGTTGTATTAAATAGGAAAGATAAGAAACACTGTTTCAATGAGCTTGAGAAAGAGATCAGGTAAGAGCAGGGATCATTTATTACTGCTTTATAATCCTCACAAGGAAAGCAAGATTCAGTAAAAATGCTACCATACATATTCCCCTTTGTTGAGATAAACCTCTACTGTCCATAAAGGATGGAAAGTATAAACGACATAGCATGATTCTGCTCACTTCTAGATGAGAAGAAGAGCAGGAGGATGGAGTTGGAGCATCTTTTCTCAATAATCTATCTCTACACAGAACTTCTCAAAATGTCTTTTTGGTCTGTTGTCTCCTAAGTAGAGTACTAACTCATGATAGTAAGACATAATAAAACATTCAATAGTATTTTCCATAAAACACAAAAACAGGGTTAAAAGAAATGAAAATTTCATGAATAAGTAGCTGACTACTGCTTTTTAAAAATAGAGGCAAAAAAGAAAACTAAAGAGTAAAAATAAATGTTATAATGTTATTAGAAATGCTTTAAGTAGTTACTATACATGTATACAAAAGTCTATTACCAACTTCTTACTTTTTATTTACTTACTTTCAGAGAGACACAGTCTTGCTATATGCATAGCCCAGACTGGCCTCAAACTCCCAATCCTCCTGTCTCAGCCTAGAATTACAGTATTACAGTATGATACAGTACTACCATATCCACTCTATTGCCAACCCTCATCCTCATCCTCATCCTGCTGAGGTGCTGGGAAATCAAACTTAGAGTCCTGTATACAGCTGCAAGCTTTCTTCCTCTGAGCTACATTCCAGCCCATTACCAACATACTATTTTGCCTACCCACCCTTCAATTGAATGTGGTGGCACATGGCTTTAACTCCAAGACTTGGAAGACAGAGGTAGTTGGATCCTCTATGTTTGAAGCCAGCCTAGTCTACATAGCTAGGACTAAATAGCAAAATCCTGTCTC